AGAGGAGGAGAGGGAATATGGAGGAGGAGGAGAGGGATATATGAAGGAGGAGGAAGAGAGAGGGATATGAAGGAGGGAGAGAGAGATATGGAGGAGGAGAGGGATATGGAGGAGGAGAGGGATATATGGAGGAGGAGGAGGAGGAGGAGAGGGATATATGGAGGAGAGGGATATGAAGGAGGAGGAGGAGAGGGATATGAAGGAGGATGAGGAGAGGGGATATGAAGGAGGGAGGAGGAGGGGGAGGGATATGGAGGAGGAGGAGAGGGATATGAAGGAGGAGGAGGAGGGAGGGGAGGATATGGAGGAGGAGGAGGAGAGGGATATGAAGGAGGAGGAGAGGGATATGGAGGAGGAGGGGGAGGAGGAGGAGGAGGAGAGGGATATGGAGGAGGAGGAGGAGGAGAGGGATATGGAGGAGGAGGAGGAGGGGAGGGATATGGAGGAGGAGGAGGAGGAGGGGAGGGATGAGGAGGAGGAGAGGGATATGGAGGAGGAGGAGGAGGGGAGGGATATGGAGAGGAGGAGGAGGAGGGGAGGGATGCAGGAGGAGGAGAGGGATATGAAGGAGGAGGAGAGGGATATGGAGGAGGAGGAGGAGGAGAGGGATATATGAAGGAGGAGGAGGACAGGGATATGGAGGAGGAGGAGGAGAGGAGGAGGAGGAGAGGGATATATGGGAGGAGGAGAGGACGAGGAGGAGGAGGACAAGGTCATTTTTCTGGGAAGTGGTCCCAGCTCCTAATTGTATCTGGAGGGGCTTGAGGAGGAAGGGGGGCTGGTAGCTGGTCATGGTAATGAACTAATTGGGCAGGGCTCCACTTCCTGTTGCTCTGAGTCAGTCTTATTGCCAGCTCTGCTCTGCCAAAGCCAAGGACTGGGAGGTCATTCTGGCCAAGTGTTCGCTGCTCAACATTCAGTCACACCACTTCAAGGAAACCAGGCAGCTGGAAAGAACCTAGAATATCAACAGGACTGTTGGCTACAGTGTTGTTCTTCCAATGTTTAGACCATTAGTTTGACGGGAGCAGTAGTGTGAGGACATGTTTTGTAGTTGGAACTATTCCCCAGTCGACAGTGTTGACAGTGGGAGGTGAAAGTGAAAAACAATGGCGATGATCTCGGCTACTGATCTGGAGCAGCTGGCTGAAATAGGTGACACACACACACACACACACACACACACACACACACACACACACACCACACACACACACACACACACCACACACACATACACACACACACACACACACACACACACAAACACTACTATTCAATAGGTGAGATTGTAACACTATTCATCCTATCCATGAAACGCATGAATTGTACATGATCATGTGTTTCTGCCAACCATTCCTCAGCAGCATAATTTGTCAGTAGTGATGGATGTTCTCTCTAGTCTCTAGCTCCTATCGTGGTCAGGTCTGACTGAAGAGTGACTCATCTCTCACCATGACACTGCCCACAAACACTCAGGCTGTCATTGGCCACATAGCTAAGATCTGGTTGACCCCCCCCCCCCCCCCCCCACCTGAGAGTCAGACCTACTGACTGGTATCAGAACAGAGCAGGGTTCCCCAAACTCGGTCCTCGGGACCCCAAGGGGTGCACGTTTTGGTTTTTGCCTAGGACTACACACGTGATTCAAATAATCAACTAATCATCGAGCTTTGATCATTTGAATCAGCTGTGTAGTGCTGAGGTAGAAACCAAAACGTGCCCCTTTGGGGTCCCGAGGACCGAGTTTGGGAAACCCTGGAACAGAGGATATGATTAACTCAGGGGACCCAAACACAAACACGCTTAGTTTCCTCCCAACCACATGTTAGATTACAAATTCTGCACCACACCATACAAAGCTATTTTTAGGAAGGGCACTCTTGCAAGTAGGAGGAGGAGGAGAGGGATATGGAGGAGGAGGAGGAGGAGGAGGAGAGGGATATGAAGGAGGAGGAGGAGGAGGAGGAGGAGGAGGAGGAGGAGGAGGGAGGAGGAGGAGGAGGAGGAGGAGAGGGATATGAAGGAGGGGAGGAGGAGGAGGAGAGGGATATGGAGGAGGAGAGGGGATATGGAGGAGGAGAGGGATATGGAGGAGGGAGGAGAGGGATATGGAGGAGGAGGAGGAGGAGGAGGAGGAGGAGAGGGATATGGAGGAGGAGGAGGAGAGGGATATGGAGGAGGAGGAGGAGAGGGATATGGAGGAGGAGGAGGAGGAGGAGAGGGATATGGAGGAGGAGGAGAGGGATATGGAGGAGGAGGAGAGGGATATGGAGGAGGAGGAGGAGGAGGAGAGGGATATGGAGGAGGAGGAGGAGGGGAGGGATATGGAGGAGGAGGAGAGGGATATGGGAGGAGGAGATATGAGGAGGAGGAGGAGGAGGAGAGGGATATGGAGGAGGAGGAGGAGAGGGATATGGAGGAGGAGGAGGAGAGGGATATGAAGGAGGAGAGGGATATGGAGGAGGAGGAGAGGGATATGAAGGAGGAGGAGGAGGGGAGGGATATGGAGGAGGAGGAGAGGGATATGGAGGAGGAGGAGGAGAGGGATATGGAGGAGGAGGAGGAGGAGGAGGAGGAGAGGGATATGGAGGAGGAGGAGGAGAGGGATATGGAGGAGGAGGAGGAGAGGGATATGAAGGAGGAGAGGGATATGGAGGAGGAGGAGGAGGAGAGGGATATGGAGGAGGAGGAGGGGAGGGATATGGAGGAGGAGGAGGGAGGGGAGGGATATGGAGGAGGAGAGGGATATGAAGGAGGAGAGGGATATGGAGGAGGAGGAGGAGAGGGATATGGAGGAGGAGGAGGGGAGGGATATGGAGGAGGAGGAGGAGAGGGATATGAAGGAGGAGAGGGATATGGAGGAGGAGGAGGGGAGGGATATGGAGGAGGAGGAGGAGAGAGATATGAAGGAGGAGAGGGATATGGAGGAGGAGGAGGGGAGGGATATGGAGGAGGGGAGGGATATGGAGAAGGAGAGGGATATGAAGGAAGAGGAGGAGGAGAGGGATATATGAAGGAGGAGGAGGAGAAGGATATATGAAGGAGATGGAGGAGGAGGAGGAGGAGGAGGAGGAGGGGGATATGAAGGAGGAGGAGGAGAGGGAGATGGAGGAGGAGGAGGAGGAGGAGGAGGAGAGAGAGGGATATGAAGGAGGAGAGAGAGAGATATGGAGGAGGAGGATGAGGAGGAGGAGGAGAGGGATATGGAGGAGATGGAGGAGGAGGAGAGGGATATGAAGGAGATGGAGGAGGAGGAGGAGAGAGGGAAATGGAGGAGGAGGAGAGGGATATGGAGGAGGAGGAGAGGGATATGGAGGAGGAGGAGAGGGATATGGAGGAGGAGGAGAGGGATATGGAGGAGGAGGAGGAGGAGAGGGATATGGAGGAGGAGAGGGATATGGAGGAGGAGGAGGAGGAGGAGGAGAGAGAGAGATATGAAGGAGGAGGAGGAGAGGGATATGGAGGAGGAGGAGAGGGATATATGAAGGAGGAGGAGAGAGAGGGATATGAAGGAGGAGAGAGAGATATGGAGGAGGAGAGGGATATGGAGGAGGAGGAGAGGGATATATGGAGGAGGAGGAGGAGGAGGAGAGGGATATATGGAGGAGAGGGATATGAAGGAGGAGGAGGAGAGGGATATGAAGGAGGATGAGGAGAGGGATATGAAGGAGGAGGAGGAGGGGAGGGATATGGAGGAGGAGGAGAGGGATATGAAGGAGGAGGAGGAGGGGAGGGATATGGAGGAGGAGGAGGAGAGGGATATGAAGGAGGAGGAGAGGGATATGGAGGAGGAGGGGGAGGAGGAGGAGGAGGAGAGGGATATGGAGGAGGAGGAGGAGGAGAGGGATATGGAGGAGGAGGAGGAGGGGAGGGATATGGAGGAGGAGGAGGAGGAGGGGAGGGATGAGGAGGAGGAGAGGGATATGGAGGAGGAGGAGGAGGGGAGGGATATGGAGGAGGAGGAGGAGGAGGGGAGGGATGAGGAGGAGGAGAGGGATATGAAGGAGGAGGAGAGGGATATGGAGGAGGAGGAGGAGGAGAGGGATATATGAAGGAGGAGGAGGACAGGGATATGGAGGAGGAGGAGGAGAGGAGGAGGAGGAGAGGGATATATGGAGGAGGAGAGGACGAGGAGGAGGAGGACAGGTCATTTTTCTGGGAAGTGTCCCAGCTCCTAATTGTATCTGGAGGGGCTTGAGGAGGACGGGGCTGGTAGCTGGTCATTGGTAATGAACTAATCTGGGCAGGGCTCACATTCCTTTTGCTCTGAGTCAGTCTTATTGCCAGCTCTGCTCTGCCAAGCCAAGGACTGGGAGGTCATCTGGCCAAGTGTTCGCTGCTCAACATTCAGTCACACCACTTCAAGGAAACCAGGCAGCTGGAAAGAACCTAGAATATCAACAGCTGACTGTTGGCTACAGTGTTGTTCTTCCAATGTTTAGACCATTAGTTTGACGGAGCAGTAGTGTTGAGACCTGTTTTGTAGTTGGAACTATTCCCAGTCGACATTATGAGAGAGGCAGTAGAAACTAGAATGGTAAATAGTCTCATTGTCCCCCAGAATAAACAACAAGAGTCCTCTGGGTAGCATTTCCTTCTCCTCTATCAGTCTAGGGACTGCCTACCACATGGTGCCATCTGGGACACAGTCAGTATTTCTAGTCTCCTTTCCTCTGGACCGCTGGGCAGAGCAGAGGGAAACACTGATGGAGATTAGAGCGGTTTCCAGTCCCTGTTTGGGATGTTTTGATCAGGTTTATTTTCATGTGGGTTATCAGCTTTGGGGCGGAAACAGCAACAGACAGGAAGACTCAAGATGACTCAGGAAATGGATGTGAATTTATAGAGGAGAGATTATATGGATGCAATATTATTCTCATTAATCAAAATATTTAGAAGGGAATGGGCCCCGTGACCAAGTCAATAGTAGTGGTCTGGACAGGACTGGCTATGTGTCATTGAAGTGATGTCATGAAAGAGTATCTTGAAAGAACAACATGTATAGCATTGTCATCAACCTCATCGGTGTGCTACAGAGCAACGTTTACGGTCTAGTTTTTGGTTCAACCTGGTTGTTTAATCAACGATCAGTGCTATCTGGAATCCTTGGGATGTCCCTACCTTTAAATTCTAACCCTAACCCAGGGCCCTATAAAATCACTTACATTTTGTCTTTTTTTCAGTAATTTTTTTTCCAGGTTTCTGTCTTTTCAGGTTTTCACTCTCAAAAATCACCAAAAAAAATGTGTAATAGAAAAACAACTAAATTGAAGCACTTTGTGACCAACTGCTGATGTAAAAATGCTTTGTAAATCAATTTGATGGATCTACCAGCCACCATTGCTAACGGCTACACAGTGGTCTGCTCACACCGCACATACAGACATGGGAAGTCTCATTGCCTCTTCAGGAAGCTGTAGGAAATCAAATCACTGATGCATTCTGTATATGATAAACTTGGGCAAATTAATAAATGTTCAATACATTTAGTTGATTCCCTGCTAAGTTCAATACATTTAGTTTATTCCCTACTAAGTTCAATACATTTAGTGGATTTCCTACTAAGTTCAATAGATTTTTGTAATATTGTTGAATTCCGTTTTATTGTCTGGATTCTGTAACTCAGTCCGCGTTCTCCGTATGACGGACTTTATAGAGCCTCCCTAACCTTAACCCTTAACCATTTTAAATGTCAACTTCAATGGGGGGGGGTAGGGACGTCCCAAGGATCCCAGATAGCACAAACCTGTAATCAACCCCAGTATTCTACAGAGTGGGCCCTGACACTGTCTCCCTCGAATCTGTCTCCTCAGAGCTGCAGAAGGAGGACGTTGAGGAACAGGGTCGTCATGGGTACCGTCCGGATCGCCCTCCAGCCCCACGTAGAGTCAGCGTCAGCCAGGACACCTCTCACCCCTACTACGATGTGGCTCGACACGGGATCCTTCAAGTCACAGGTGAGTTATTAAACCTCTCCCCCCCACCCACCCACCTAGGGCTGTGGCGGAGGTCATTACGTTTTGTCAGCCGGTGATTGTCAAGCAAATAACTGCCAAGTCTCGAGGCTAATTAACATAAACACATTTAGCATCTCCTGGCTTCCACACACAGCCTACAAGCCACTGATGCAGACCTTTTGGAACATCTACATGTTAAAAAAGTCTAATAAATCCATGTAATATAGCCTACACCTTCACAATAAATCCATTATTTATTTTAGACAGGTCTAAAGAAACATGATATGAAGAAAATGTAGTCTATTTCAGAAGAACAGAATAGCATCCTCTGAGTTGTCCTTATGTTAGGTCCTGATCTGGCTATGCCAAATGGCTGTGGGCTACACTAGTTCATTTAGCAGACTAGATTCCGTGGCATTATTTTATATTATTTTATAGTATGAAGAATACAATTGAACAAAGCTGAATAAAATAGAAAGGATATTTTCCCCAAACGATTGGAGGGAGTGCCCACATGCAGCTATTCTGTGTTGAGCGGTTAACAAAGAAACAGGTCCTCTTATGCTTAATTTAGAGATATTTAGGCAACTTTAGTTGTGATATAAACGTTTGGCTATATGTTTTGATTTGTAATGTATTCTAAGGCTGCATGATGCGACTCTAATAACGATTTGTGTGGCCGTAATGCCCCCTAAAAAAATCTATGCATTGCAGCCACTTGTAATAATTATAATTCCCTTCTCCCGGCAGCCAATCGTCCTGCTCCGAAGCACCTCACTCATGGCGCTCTCAGATACCTCAATTCTTATTAGCCGACGTCCGTCACGTGATCGGGTCCTTCTAACAGTCATCGCAGCTCCGAAGCCGACGTCCGTCACGTGACCGGGTCCTTCTAACAGTCATCTCAGCTCCGAAGCCGACGTCCGTCACGTGATCGGGTCCTTCTAACAGTCATCGCAGCTCCGAAGCCGACGTCCGTCACGTGATCGGGTCCTTCTAACAGTCATCGCAGCTCCGAAGCCGACGTCCGTCACGTGATCGGGTCCTTCTAACAGTCATCGCAGCTCCGAAGCCGACGTCCGTCACGTGATCGGGTCCTTCTAACAGTAATCTCAGCTCCGAAGCCGACGTCCGTCACGTGACCGGGTCCTTCTAACAGTCATCGCAGCTCCGAAGTAGGCCACTATTGAAGACCGACACACCGGGGACGCAACTGCGCGCGTCCTTATCAAATTATGAGGCACATATTGAAGATGTTAGAAACATTTCAAATCTACTATCCTCCATAGTACAAAAGTTCTCCTACAGTGCATTCGGAAAGTATTCAGACCCCTTTGACCTTTTCCACATTTTATGTTACAGCCTTATTCTAAAATTATTGTTTTTCCCTCATCAATCTACACACAATACCCCATAATGACAAAGCAAAAACAGGTTTTGAGAAATGTTTCCAGACGTGACGCTGAATACTTATGAGCCTAAAGGGTCTGAATACTTATGTAAATAAGGTATTTCTGTTTTTTAATTTTAATACATTTTGCAAAAATTCTAAAAACCTGTTTTCGCTTTGTCATTATGGGGTATTGTGTGTAGATTGATGTGGGAAAACATGTATTTAATCCATTTTAGAATAAGGCTGTAACGTAACAAAATATGGAAAAAGGGAAGAGGTAGGAATACTTTCCGAATTCACTGTGTTCTATTGGTCAACTTGTCCTTCTGTGCGAGATAAATATTCCAACATAGTCTGGGACAGTTGTGGGATGCAATAGATCAAATGAATACAACCACTCGCATCAAAACACCTTTTAAAACCAATGAGGCAGATGCAACAGATCAGAACGTTCATCTTAAAAATCTTCACAAAAGCGCAGCAATGCGCACACGGCAGTAGGACATAAGCACGAATGTTCCAAAATGCAATCAATTAGCGGGAAAACACCGTTCTCAAATGCGATTGTGCTTGTAATGCTTTATTATAAAGATGCATTTTTATTGCGAAAAAAGATCTTCCCATAAACTTGAAACTCACGCGCCACCTATGTATGCCAGTTAGTCTCTACACCGGTTGTAAAGCTGATTAATGTGCTTAATTGTAAGAAGTTATTTGGCCACTTTAGTTGTGATACAAACCTTATCAAAACCTATAGGCCTATGGGCTAGGCTACATGAGGTGTGCAGCTATGGTTTGAAAAAGTCGCAAAAGAAGGCATGTGCTGTTTCTCACCGTACTGAACACAAGCATCATACTGTCACCCATCAGACTATTCTTCATTTAATCTTGTCTTTACAGATACTAAATTATATATGCGTGAAATTAGTTTGGATTTACAATGGACCATTATCTTGCAACTGTCTCAAAACGGGGGCAGGGGAAATAATGCATGTCATCTATGAACTTAAATAGCAAAAGGGGGAGGGAGGGAGTGGTGCAGAGGGGCAGGGAGAGGAGCAGGAGAGATGAAGGGGAGGGAGGGGTGAAGGAGGAGGGGAGGGGTGAAGGAGGAGGTAGGGGGTGAAGGGGGGAGGTAGGGGTAAAGGGGGAAGGTGGGGGTGGGGGGGGAGGTAGGGGGGGGGGGGAGGTGGGGGTGGGAAAAGGGAGGGAAAGGGGGGAAGGAGGAGGTGGGGGGTAAAGGGGGAGGAGGGGTAAGGGGGGGGTGGAAAAAGGGGGAGGGGGGGAGGGGGGGAAGGGGGAGAGGGGTAAGGGAGGGGAGGGCGAAGGTGGGGGGGGGGGTAAGGGAGGAGGAGGGGTTGGGAGGGGGGAAGGGGGGGGGAGGAGGGGGGGGGGGGGAGGAGGGGGGGGAAAGGGGAGGAGGGGGGGGGGGAAAGGAGGAGGGGGAGGAGGGGGAGGGGGGAAGGGGGAGGAGGGGGGGGGGAAAGAAGGGGGAAAAGGGGGGAGGGGGTAAGGGGGAGGGAAAGGGGGGGGGGGGGAAAAGGGGGGGAAGGGGGGGGGGGAAAAGGGGGAGGAGGGGGAAGGAGGGGGGGGGAAAAAGGGGGAGGGGGGGTTTAAGGGGGGGGAAAAAAGGGGAAAGGGGGAGGGGGGGTGAAGGAGAGGAGGGGGTAGGGGAAAAGGAGGGAGAGGGGGGGGTTAAAAGGGGGAGGGGGGGGAAGGGGGGGGGGAAAGGGAAGGTAGGGGTTGAAGGGGGGAGGTGGGGGTTTGGGAAGGAGGAGGGTAGGGGTGAAGGGGGAGGTGGGGGGGGGGGGAAAAGGGGAAGGTAGGGGGGGGGGAGGGGGGAAGGGGGAGGTAGGGGTGGGCAAGGGGGGGGTGGGGGGGGAAGGGGGAGGGGGTAAGGGAGGAGGGGGAAGGGGAAGGGGAAAGGGGAGAGGGGGTGAAGGAGGGGGGAAAAAGGGGGGGAAGGAGCGAGGGGGGGATTTAAGGGGGGGTTTGGGTTTAAGGGAGGAATAGGGGGAAAGGGAGGGGGTGGGGTTTTTTGGGGGGTTTTTTAGGGGTAAAAAGGGGGGAAAAGGTGGGGGTTAAAGGCCCCCCGGGGTTTTTGGGGGTAAAGGGATAAAATTAGGGGGAAGGGGTTGGGGTTTTTTGGGGGGGGTTTTTGGGTTTTGGGGGTGATGAAAAACTATGGCGGGAAAGGGTTTGGTCGATGTGTTCTTTCCCCTCCTCCTGGGGTTTTGTTCTCCCCAGGTGTGATAACTTGGCAGGAAGGGGGGTTTTTCTGTTTGTTCTCTCTCCTTTTGTTGTTTGTTCTTCCAGGTGTTTGGAAAAAATATGGCGGGAAGCGGGTCTGTTTGGTTCTTTTTTTTCCCCTGTTGTCTCTTTCTCTCCGGTTTGATGATAACTATGGCAGGAAGTGGTCTGTTTGGTTCTCCCCTTGTTGTCTTGTTCTCTCCGGGGTGATGAAAAACTATGGGGGAAAGTGGTTGATGTGTTCTCTCTCCTCTCTGTTGTCTCTGTTCTCTCCAGGTGATGATAACTATGGCAGGAAGCTGGTCTGATGTGTTCTCTCTCCTCTCTGTTGTCTCGGTTGTTCTCTCCCAAGGTGGATGATAACTATGGACAGCAGGAAGCTAGGTCTGATGTGTTCTCTCTCTCCTCCTGTTTGTCTTCGTTCTCTCCAGGTGATGATAATATGCGGCAGGAAGCTGGTTCTGATGTGTTCTTCTCTCCTCTGTTGTCTCTGTTCTCTCCAGGTGATGATAACTATGGCAGGAAGCTAGGTCTGATGTGTTCTCTCTCTCCTCTGTTGTCTCTGTTCTCTCCAGGTGATGATAACTATGGCAGGAAGCTGGTCTGATGTGTTCTCTCTCCTCCTGTTGTCTCTGTTCTCTCCAGGTGATGATAACTATGGCAGGAAGCTGGTCTGATGTGTTCTCTCTCTCCTCTGTTGTCTCTGTTCTCTCCAGGTGATGATAACTATGGCAGGAAGCTGGTCTGATGTGTTCTCTCTCCTCCTGTTGTCTCTGTTCTCTCCAGGTGATGATAACTATGGCAGGAAGCTGGTCTGATGTGTTCTCTCTCCTCTCTGTTGTCTCTGTTCTCTCCAGGTGATGATAACTATGGCAGGAAGCTAGGTCTGATGTGTTCTCTCTCCTCCTGTTGTCTCTGTTCTCTCCAGGTGATGATAACTATGGCAGGAAGCTGGTCTGATGTGTTCTCTCTCTCTCTCTGTTGTCTCTGTTCTCTCCAGGTGATGATAACTATGGCAGGAAGCTGGTTATCTTCAGTAGCTGCCTGATGCCCCCCTCCCATCAGCTCAACCACCACCACCTGCTGGAGTGAGTCAGGACAATCATCATATGATATATGCAGTTTATGTACATGTAACTATTTTGCTGTCCACTATGGAAGACCCTCAACAGGTTGTTTTCACTTCCTTGAAGAGGAATTAACAAGTGCACTCTTGAGGGAGAAGGGGATCGAGTGAATTGGTCTTCAGTGAAATGTTGTGAATTTGAGTACTGTGCTCTGTGAAATGTGTATCTGAGTACTGTGCTCTGTGAAATGTTGTGTATCTGAGTACTGTGCTCTGTGAAATGTTGTGTATCTGAGTACTGTGCTCTGAAATGTTGTGTATTTGAGTACTGTACTCTGCAGTAAAAGCTGTTATATTCAGGTAACTGCCAAAAGAAAGGAAACTCCATCGTAGTGTCTTAATGGGGCGTTGGGCCAGAACAGCTTCCATTCACCTCGGCATAGATTCTACAAGTGTCGACACCGTTCTTCCGCAATTTTGTTGATGGTGGTGGAAAACGCTGTCTCAGGCGCCGCTCCAGAACCTCCCATCAGTGTTCGATTGGGTTGAGATCTGGTGACTGGGACACACACAACACACACACACACACACACACACACACACACACACACACACACACACACACACACACACACACACACACACACACACACACACACACACACACACAGACACACACACACACACACACACACACACACACACACACACGCACACGCACACACGCACACACACACACACACACACACACTAGGGTTGGGCCGTTATCCAGATTTTGATGTCATCATACCGCCCTTCTCTCATCCCGGGATTTACAGTATTACTGTTTTAGTACTCAAGGGGGCGCTAAAAACCAATAGCGAATTTCAATAGAGGCTGCTAGCTAAATATGCTAACGACCGCAAACAAAAAATAAAGGAATTGCAAAGACAGGCTCATAAAGTTCTACAAGTATAGGTGGGAGCTACCGAATGGCATCTTTGGTGAGTTTGGACAGTTACAAGCGAATGTGAACGAGAGACGTTGTGCAAATGAGCAACGTTTTGACACATGCTTGCTCCTTTTGAGACCCCTCTTTCAAAGTCACGAGATCTCTTCTAGCCATGGTAGCCAAAATAATGGGCAACTGGGCATTTTTATACATGGCCCTAAGCAGTCCGTATCTACAGTGGGGAGAACGTCCTCTGGTCTGAAGGAAGAACAGTCTCTGGAGCAGCATGTCTTCACAAGCAGCCTGAGAACCGAGAGAACCGAGAGGAGGAAAAATAATAGTGAGGAGAACTCATCCAAAGGCTTTGACTTCGACACAGCAGGAAGCTGTATTATATTACACTACAGTGCATTCGGAAAGTATTCAGACCCCTTGACTTTTTCCACATTTTTGTTACGTTACAGCCTTATTCTAAAATAAGTTAAATGTTTTTCCTCATCAATCTACACACAATACCCCATAATGACAAAGCACATTTTTTTCAAGTATTCAGACCCTTTGCTATGAGACTCGAAATTGAGCTCAGGTGCATCCTGTTTCCATTGATCATCCTTGATGTTTCTTCAACTTGATTGGAGTCCACCTGTGGTAAATTCAATTGATTGGACATGATTTGGAAAGGCACACACCTGTCTATATAAGGTCCCACAGTTGAGAGTGCATGTCAAAGCAAAAACCAAGCCATGAGGTTGAAGGAATTGTCCGTAGAGCTCCGAGACAGGATTGTGTCGAGGCACAGATCTGGGGAAGGGTACCAAAACATTTCTGCAGCATTGAAGGTCCCCAAGAACACAGTGGCCTCCATCATTCTTAAATGGAAGACGTTTGGAACCACCAAGACTCTTCCTAGAGCTGGCAGCCCTGGCCAAACTAAGCAATCGGGGGAGAAGGGCCTTGGTCAGGGAGGTGACCAAGAACCCGATGGCCACTCGGACAGAGCTCCAGAGTTCCTCTGTGGAGATGGGAGAACCTTCCAGAAGGACAACCATCTCTGCAGCACTCCACCAATCAGGCCTTTATGGTAGAGTGGCCAGACGGAAGCCACTCCTCAGTAAAATGACAGGCCGCTTGGAGTTTGCCAAAAGGCACCTAAAGGACTCTCAGACCAAGAGAAACAAGATTCTCTGCTTTATCTCCTAATGTATTGCACAAGTTGACTGCAGTTATTAACTTAAAAAGTAGCTACAAATATTCCCATTTTTATTGAAACTTAAAAGAAATAGTTTGACGGTATTGAAAAACCATCCCGTGGACATTTCCATAATACCCCGGTAATACGGTCCCCAGACTAACACACAACCTCTTTAAAACCACACTCCATTGAGACCCCTCTTTCAGCAGTCACCGACATCTCTTTCTAGCCAGGAAGCCAAAATAATGGACAACAGGGCTTTTTAACATGACCTAAGAGCCTTCTACAGTGGAGAACGTCCTCTGTTCCTATACTAGTCCATATTACTCTGTAGAAAGTCTCTGCTTGCATTCCATAGTCATATTCCTTGTATGAACGTCTCTGGTCTGCTATTCTCCTGTCCATAACTACCTCGTAGAACGTTCCTCTGGTCAGCTAACCTAGTCCAATCTACCTCTGTAAACTCCCTGTTCCGCTATACTAGTCCGATCTTACCTGTAGAACGCTTGTTGCTATTACCTAGTCCATATCTACCTCTGTGAGAACGTCCTCTGGTCTGCTATACCTAGTCCATACTAGTCTATCTACCTCTGTAGAACGTCCTCTGGTCTGCTATACCTAGTCCATATCTACCTCTGTAGAACGTCCTCTGGTCTGCTATTCCTAGTCCATATCTACCTCTGTAGAACGTCCTCTGGTCTGCTATACCTAGTCCATATCTACCTCTGTAGAACGTCCTCTGTTCCGCTATACCTAGTCCATATCTACCTCTGTAGAACGTCCTCTGTTCCGCTATACCTAGTCCGTATCTACCTCTGTAGAACATCCTCTGTTCCGCTATACCTAGTCCATATCTACCTCTGTAGAACGTCCTCTGGTCCGTTCTGCTATACCTAGTCCATATCTACCTCTGTAGAACGTCCTCTGGTCTGCTATACCTAGTCCATATCTACCTCTGTAGAACGTCCTCTGGTCCGCTATACCTAGTCCGTATCTACAGTGCCTTCAAAGTATTCATACCTCTTGACTTGTTCCACATTTTGTTGTTACAGCCTGAATTCAAAATGAAAGATTTTTTTTCTCACCCATCTGCATACAATACCCTAATAATGACAAAGTGAAAACATGTTTTTATACATTTTTGCACTTTTCTTGAAAATGAAATACAGAAGTATCTCATTTACATAAGTATACACACCCCTGAGTCAATACATGTTAGAATCACCTTTGGCAGCGATGATTACAGCGGTGAGTCTTTCTGGGTAAGTCTCTTGAAGAGCCACTGAACACGCAGATTGGCACGTATGTTTTTCAGTTGCTCATTCGAAAAATGAGATTTCAGTGTTGGTGTGTTTCCTGACCGATTCAACGTTTTGGTTAATAAAGTTTGTCCCCCCATGAGACACTGTAGACGTGGAAGCCTATTTCACTTCCTCAAAATCTCAGAATGAATCTTAAGAACAAAACAAATCTGTAATTAATTTTGACGTGTTTTTTTTGGCGAGGATGTTTTAGTTGCGCAATTTTAACTGTTTGACTCATATCGATGCCACATAAGCCGTTTTAAATGGGATTTGATACTTTTTAAAGGCAGTTGCTCTTGAAGAGCTTTGCACACCTTTTTATTGTACAATATTTGCACATTATTCTTTTATTATTCTTCAAGCTCTGTCAAGTTGGTTGTTGATCATTGTTAGAGCCATAGATCTTCAAGTCTTACCATAGATGTTCAAGCCGATTTTAAGTCAAAACTGTAACTAGGCCACTCAGGAACATTCAACGTCGTTCTTGGTGAGCAACTCCAGTGTAAATTTTGGCCTTGTGTTTTAGGTTATTGTCCTGCTGAAGGGTGCATTTGTCTCCCAGTGTCTGTTGGAAAGCAGACTGAACCAGGTTTTCCTCTAGGATTTTCCCTGTGCTTAGCTCTATTCCATTTATTTTTGTCCTAAAAAAACTCCCTAGTCCTTGCCGATGACAAGCATACCCATAACATGATGCAGCCACCACTATGCTTGGAAATATGAAGAGTGGTACTCAGTGTTGTGTTGGATTTGCCCCAATCACAACACTTTGTATTCAGGACATTAAGTTAATTTCTTTGCCAGATTTCTTTGCAGTTTTACTTTAGTGCCTTGTTGTAAACAGGATGCATGTTTTGGAATATTTGTATTCTGTACAGGCTTCCTTCTTTTCACTCTGTCATTTAGGTTAGTAGTGTGGAGTAACTACAATGTTGTTGATCCATCCTCCGTTTTCTCCTATCACAGCCATTAAACTGTAACTGTTTTAAAGTCACCATTGGCCTCATGGTGAAAATCCCTGAGCGGTTTCCTTCCTCTCCGGCAACTGAGCTAGGAAGGACGCCTGTATCTTTGCAGTGACTGGGTGTATTGATACACCATACAAAGTGTAATTAATAACTTCACCATGCTCAAAGGGATATTCAATGTCTGCTTTTTTAATTTTTACCCATCTACCAGTAGGTGCCCTTCTTTGCGAGGCATTGGAAAACCTCCCTGGTCTTTGTGGTTGAATCTGTGTTTGAAATTCACTGCTCGACTGGGGGACCTTACAGATAATTGTATGTGTGGGGTACAGAGATGAGGTAGTCATTCAAACAATCATGTTAAACACTATTATTGCACACAGGAGTCCATGCAACTTGTTATGTGACTTGTTAAGCACATTTTTACTCCTGAACTTATTCAGGCTTGCCATAACAAAGGGGTTGAATACTTATTGACTCAAGACATTTCAGCTTTTCATCTTTTAATTCATTTGTAAAACATTCTAAAAACATAATTCCACTTTGACATTATGGGGTATTGTGTGTTGTGTGTAAGCCAGTGACACAATTTAAATGTAATCAATTTGGCGGCGCTCCAGAATCTCCCATAAGTGTTCAGTTGAGATGTGGTGACTGAGACGGCCACGGCATAAGGTTTACATCGTATTCATGCTCATCAAACCATTGTGACCGCTCCTACCTGGTGGATGGGGGCCTACCCGGGGTACCCAAAAATAATGGCCTGCCCTGCATTTTTATACATGACCCTAAGCATGATGGGATGTTAATTGCTTAATGAACTCAGGAAATCACACCTGTGTGGAAGCGACCTGCTTTCGATATACTTTGTTATCCCTCATTGACTCAAGTGTTTCCATAAATTTTTTTGGCAGTTACCTGAGTGCTCTGCTCTCTCCTCCCCCTTGGCTGCAGGTATCTGAAGTACTCTCTGGACCAGTATTACCTGAGTGCTCTGCTCTCTCCTCCCCCTTGGCTGCAGGTATCTGAAGTACTCTCTGGACCAGTATTACCTGAGTGCTGCTCTCTCCTCCCCTGGCTGCAGGTATCTGAAGTACTCTCTGGACCAGTATTACCTGAGTGCTCTGCTCTCTCCTCCCCCTTGGCTGCAGGTATCTGAAGTACTCTCTGGACCAGTATTACCTGAGTGCTCTGCTCTCTCCTCCCCCTTGGCTGCAGGTATCTGAAGTACTCTCTGGACCAGTATTACCTGAGTGCTCTGCTCTCTCCTCCCCTTGGGCTGCAGGTATCTGAAGTACTCTCTGGACCAGTATTACCTGAGTGCTCTGCTCTCTCCTCCCCTTGGCTGCAGGTATTGAAGTACTCTCTGGACCAGTATTAAACGGAGTGCTCGCTTTCTCCTCCCCCTTGGCTGCAGGTATCTGAAGTACTCTCTGGACCAGTATTACCTGAGTGCTCTGCTCTCTCCTCCCCCTTGGCTGCAGGTATCTGAAGTACTCTCTGGACCAGTATGTAGAGAGCGATTATACAGTAGTGTATTTCCATCATGGTCTCCGCAGCAGCAACAAGCCCTCACTACGCTGGCTACGAGACGCATACAGAGAGTTTGACAGGAAGTAAGTCACCCTGACCTCCTAACCTACGACTCTTCAAGCCCTCTCTCGATCAAAATACAACGCGATGAACCAGTTTTTCCAGAATGATGTTTACAGTGTGTGTGTGTGTGTGTGTGTGTCAATGTATTTCCTGACAGGTACAAGAAGAACCTGAAAGCCCTCTATGTCGTCCATCCTACTAATTTTATCAGAATAATCTGGAATATATTCCAACCACTCATCAGGTATGCTCCCCAGTCATCATTCTACAGTAAAGATCTAGAATACAGTATATTCCAACCACTCATCAGGTATGCTCCCCAGTCATCTTTCTACAGTAAAGATCTAGAATACAGTATATTCCAACCACTCATCAGGTATGGTCCCCAGTCATCTTTTCTACAGTAAAGATCTAGAATACAGTATATTCCAACCACTCATCAGGTATGCTCCCCAGTCATCTTTCTACAGTAAAGATCTAGAATACAGTATATTCCAACCACTCATCAGGTATGCTCCCCAGTCATCTTTCTACAGTAAAGATCTAGAATACAGTATATTCCAACCACTCATCAGGTATGCTCCCCAGTCATCTTTCTACAGTAAAGATCTAGAATACAGTATATTCCAACCACTCATCAGGTATGCTCCCCAGTCATCTTTCTACAGTAAAGATCTAGAATACAGTATATTCCAACCACTCATCAGGTATGGTCCCCAGTCATCTTTCTACAGTAAAGATCTAGAATACAGTATATTCCAACCACTCATCAGGTATGCTCCCCAGTCATCTTTCTACAGTAAAGATCTAGAATACAGTATATTCCAACCACTCATCAGGTATGCTCCCCAGTCATCTTTCTACAGTAAAGATCTAGAATACAGTATATTCCAACCACTCATCAGGTATGCTCCCCAGTCATCTTTCTACAGTAAAGATCTAGAATACAGTATATTCCAACCACTCATCAGGTATGGTCCCCAGTCATCTTTCCACAGTAAAGATGCCATTCAGGCCTGTACTGTACATTTTAAGTCTGTCTCCATAACAGTATTGATGGCCATGAAAGACATTTGGCAATAATGACTGACCCCTTTCTAACACTGTTCTTCCTGTTTAGTCACAAGTTTGGTAAGAAGCTGATCTATGTGAACTACCTGGCAGAGCTCAGAGACCACCTGAACTGTGATCAGCTTCTCATCCCACCTGATGTCCTCAGGTAGGTTACACCTCTATACCACTACCTTACCCTGACCCCTGACCTTAACCCTAACTACCTGGCAGAGCTCAGAGACCACCTGAACTGTGATCAGCTTCTCATCCCACCTGATGTCCTCAGGTAGGTTACACCTCTATACCACTACCTTACCCTGACCCCTGACCTTAACCCTAACTACCTGGCAGAGCTCAGAGACCACCTGAACTGTGATCAGCTTCTCATCCCACCTGATGTCCTCAGGTAGGTTACACCTCTATACCACTACCTTACCCTGACCCCTGACCTTAACCCTAACTACCTGGCAGAGCTCAGAGACCACCTGAACTGTGATCAGCTTATCATCCCACCTGATGTCCTCAGGTAGGTTACACCTCTATACCACTACCTTACCCTGACCCCTGACCTTAACCCTAACTACCTGGCAGAGCTCAGAGACCACCTGACCTGTGATCAGCTTCTCATCCCACCTGATGTCCTCAGGTAGGTTACACCTCTATACCACTACCTTACCCTGACCCCTGACCTTAACCCTAACTACCTGGCAGAGCTCAGAGACCACCTGACCTGTGATCAGCTTCTCATCCCACCTGATGTCCTCAGGTAGGTTACACCTCTATACCACTACCTTACCCTGACCCCTGACCTTAACCCTAACCTTTTTAGGTTCACTGCACATTTCAGATTTGAACGCTACAAAATATCAGTAGTATCTGATATCATGATATGATGGCTCTGACTTAACATTGAGGACTGGGCAATGTTTGTATTGATGTATCCAACCAACCGGAGGGACTGTAGTCATGTATCCAACCAACCAGAGGGACTGTAGTCATGTATCCAACCAACCACGGAGGTACTGTAGTCATGTATCCAACCAACCAGAGAAACTGTAGTCATGTATCCAACCAACCACGGAGGCACTGTATTCATGTATCCAACCAACCAGAGGGACTGTAGTCATGTATCCAACCAACCAGAGGTACTGTAGTCATGTATCCAACCAACCAGAGGGACTGTAGTCATGTATCCAACCAACCACGGAGGGACTGTAGTCATGTATCCAACCAACCACGGAGGTACTGTAGTCATGTATCCAACCAACCAGAGGGACTGTAGTCATGTATCCAACCAACCAGAGGTACTGTAGTCATGTATCCAACCAACCAGAGGGACTGTAGTCATGTATCCAACCAACCAGAGGTACTGTAGTCATGTATCCAACCAACCAGAGGGACTGTAGTCATGTATCCAACCAACCAGAGGTACTGTAGTCATGTATCCAACCAACCAGAGGGACTGTAGTCATGTATCCAACCAACCACGGAGGGACTGTAGTCATGTATCCAACCAACCACGGAGGTACTGTAGTCATGTATCCAACCAACCAGAGGAACTGTAGTCATGTATCCAACCAACCAGAGGGACTGTAGTCATGTATCCAACCAACCAGAGGGACTGTAGTCATGTATCCAACCAACCAGAGGGACTGTAGTCATGTATCCAACCAACCACGGAGGTACTGTAGTCATGTATCCAACCAACCAGAGGGACTGTAGTCATGTATCCAACCAACCACGGAGGGACTGTAGTCATGTATCCAACCAACCAGAGGGACTGTAGTCATGTATCCAACCAACCACGGAGGGACTGTAGTCATGTATCCAACCAACCAGAGGGACTGTAGTCATGTATCCAACCAACCACGGAGGGACTGTAGTCATGTATCCAACCAACCAGAGGGACTGTAGTCATGTATGTAACCAACCACGGAGGGACTGTAGTCATGTATGTAACCACGGAGGGACTGTAGTCATGTATGTAACCATGGAGGTACTGTACTGTAGTCATGTATGTAACATATATGTCTATGTATTTACTCCAGCCATGATGAGAGGCTGCAGGTGGCCCAGAAGGGAGGTCCGCACCCCTCATCTAAGACTCCTCCCCCCAGACCTCCTCTACCCACTCAGCAGTTTGGAGTCAGCCTGCAATAGTGAGGATTTTTATTTTGTCCAATGTTTATGCCAACTAATATGATTTACCATAATGCACGCATACTGAATTTGAAGTGTTCTGTTTCCAGTATTCGTGAGAAGAACCAGGGTGTGATGATTCCTCCTGTGATGTCCCAGACTGTGTCTTATCTCAAAGACAATGGTAAGAAGGTAGAAGCTTGGATCTATCAGGGACAAGAAGACCTCTACAGTAATAGTAGTTTAAGCCTGTTAGTCCCTCCCTCCCTCTCCTCAGGTCTCCAGACAGAAGGTAGAAGCTTGGATCTATCAGGGACAAGAAGACCTCTACAGTAATAGTAGTTTAAGCCTGTTAGTCCCTCCCTCCCTCTCCTCAGGCCTCCAGACAGAAGGTAGAAGCTTGGATCTATCAGGGACAAGAAGACCTCTACAGTAATAGTAGTTTAAGCCTGTTAGTCCCTCCCTCCCTCTCCTCAGGCCTCCAGACAGAAGGTAGAAGCTTGGATCTATCAGGGACAAGAAGACCTCTACAGTAATAGTAGTTTAAGCCTGTTAGTCCCTCCCGCCCTCTCCTCAGGTCTCCAGACAGAAGGTATCTTCAGGAGGTCAGCTCGTGTTCAGCTCATCAAGGACGTCCAGAAGCTCTATAACCAGGGTGAGATGGAACCTCTATAACATCCATAATAACCTTTATAACCTCTTTAACCAGGGTGAGATGGAACCTCTATAACATCCATATTAACCTTTATAACCTCTTTAACCAGGGTGAGATGGAACCTCTATAACATCCATAATAACCTTTATAACCTCTATAACCAGGGTGAGATGGAACCTCTATAACATCCATAATAACCTTTATAAGCTCTTTAACCAGGGTGAGATGGAACCTCTATAACATCCATAATAACCTTTATAACCTCTACAACCAGGGTGAGATGGAACCTCTATAACATCCATAATAACCTTTATAACCTCTATAACCAGGGGGAGATGGAACCTCTATAACATCCATAATAACCTTTATAACCTCTACAACCAGGGTGAGATGGAACCTCTATAACATCCATAATAACCTTTATAACCTCTATAACCAGGGGGAGATGGAACCTCTATAACATCCATAATAACCTTTATAACCTCTATAACCAGGGGGAGATGGAACCTCTATAACATCCATAATAACCTTTATAACCTCTTTAACCAGGGTGAGATGGAACCTCTATAACATCCATAATAACCTTTATAAGCTCTTTAACCAGGGGGAGAAGCTAGATCTCTGAGCCGCGGCAGTGCTGAGCGGGGTCTCCCAGGGGCAGGGCCGAGCGGGGTCTCCCAGGGGCAGGGGCAGGGCCGAGCGGGGTCTCCCAGGGGCAGGGGCAGGGCGGAGCGGGGTCTCCCAGGGCCAGAGGCAGGGCCGAGCGGGGTCTCCCAGGGCCAGAGGCAGGGCGGAGCGGGGTCTCCCAGGGCCAGAGGCAGGGCTTTTATCTCTCACTACCAGGAAGCAGAGATCAATAATAATCCAGATCAACCTCCATCTCCTCTGCCTCAGATGCCATCGCACCACAGCCCCATGTCACCCCGACTTCTGACTGCAGCAGGCCAAGTTTCCATTAGTCAAACCACTTACTTTCTGAGAACATGTATAATCAATCAACCTAAATAATCAATCATATGCTAGATCCAGTACATGTGTTTTGCCAGAGAAAGATTTGTATCGGCTAATTTGTAGAAAACATAAGAATTATAACAATCAATGATTCAATTTCAATACTTTGAATGTAGCATTTGCGTCAGGGTTGTCCATGGAAGCGTTTTACTCTGGACTCAGATAGACAGACATCCTGTGTGTTCAGTATTGTAGAAGGTCTCTGTATGTGTTGTCCAGGTTTTAGCTGCTCAGTCAGTCTGTAGAAGGTCTCTGTATGTGTTGTCCAGGTTTTAGCAGCTCAGTCAGTCTGTAGAAGGTCTCTGTATGTGTTGTCCAGGTTTTCGCTGCTCAGTCAGTCTGTAGAAGGTCTCTGTATGTGTTGTCCAGGTTTTAGCTGCTCAGTCAGTCTGTAGAAGGTCTCTGTATGTGTTGTCCAGGTTTTAGCTGCTCAGTCAGTCTGTAGAAGGTCTCTGTATGTGTTGTCCAGGTTTTCGCTGCTCAGTCAGTCTGTAGAAGGTCTCTGTATGTGTTGTCCAGGTTTTAGCAGCTCAGTCAGTCTGTAGAAGGTCTCTGTATGTGTTGTCCAGGTTTTAGCTGCTCAGTCAGTCTGTAGAAGGTCTCCTCTGTATAGACTATAACTTTCTTGTCCTGCTCTCTTCTCCTCAGGGAAGCCAGTGATGTTCCAGCAGTATGGGGACGTCCATGTTCCTGCTGTCATCCTGAAGACCTTCCTCAGAGAGCTCCCTGAGCCCCTGCTCACCTTCCCCCTCTACCACCAGATACAGGACATAGTCCGTAAGTACATGCGCACGCCGAGGCTTTAGCTCAGCAGGCTAACGCGCCGCGGTGTTGTGGCACGTAGGAGACGGGTCCGGTAAAAAATGCAGCAAAGCATCCCCGAACCGTCACACTACCGCCGCCGCGCTTGACCGTTGGTATGAAGTGAAGCATGGTGGTGGCGGTGTGATGGTTTGGGGATGCTTTGCTGCCTCCGGCCCTACTGTGAAGTAGGATCCTGCATCAATATAAACATTCAACGGCCCTACTGTGGTCCTGAATCGGGTCAGGTGACCCAGTCTATAACTATAAGAGAACGTCAACGTGCTGCTTTCTGTTCCAGGAGTGGAGAGCAGTCTCCGAGTGACAGCATGTAAACACATCCTAGAGAATCTACCAGAACACAACTACATGGTGTTGAAGTACCTGCTCTGTTTCCTGAACATAGTAAGAACACACAACACAACATGACACACCACCGCACAGCACCGCACAGCACCGCACAGCACCGCACAGCACCCCACCGCACAGCACCGCACAGCACCACGCACCACACACCAATGGGTCTTGTAGCCCATTCCAGCCTTGTGTAGGTCTACAATCTTGTCCCTGACATCCTTGGAGAGCTCTTTGGTCTTGGCCATGGTGGAGAGTTTGGAATCTGATTGATTGATTGCTTCTGTGGACAGATGTCTTTTATACAGGTAACAAACTGAGATTAGGAGCACTCCCTTTAAGAGTGTGCTCCTAATCTCAGCTCGTTACCTGTATAAAAGACACCTGGGAGCCAGAAATCTTTCTGATTGACAGGGGGTCAAATACTTATTTCCCTCATTAAAATGCTAATCAATTTATAACATTTTTGACATGCGTTTTTCTGGATTTTTGTTGTTGTTATTCTGTCTCTCACTGCTCAAATAAACCTACCATTAAAATTATAGACTGATCATTTCTTTGTCAGTGGGCAGACGTACAAAATCAGCAGGGGATCAAATACTTTTTTCCCCTCACTGTATATGAATGCCGTGTAGACATTTTAGAAAAGGACTGACCAACAGAAACAGACCACTACAATAATATGCCACTGTTGAGAAACATCAAACCCACTTCCCCTTTGTCCCATGTGAAATGCTTAGGTTTCAATTGTAGAAACCCCCTCTACATTCACATGCACACTGACCTTAACTAACTAACCATAGCCAGAACTAACCCACAAGGCCTCAGACAGGAAGACTGGGGATGTGTCCCTAATGGCACCCTATCCCCTATATAGTGCACTACTTTAGACCAGAGAATGGCACCCTATTCCCTATATAGTGCACTACTTTAGACCAGAGAATGGCACCCTATTCCCTATATAGTGCACTACTTTAAACCAGAGAATGGCACCCTATTCCCTATATAGTGCACTACTTTAGACCAGAGAATGGTACCCTATCCCCTATATAGTGCACTACTTTAGACCAGAGAATGGCACCCTATTCCCTATGTAGTGCACTACTTTAGACCAGAGAATGGCACCCTATTCCCTATATAGTGCATACTTTAGACCAGAGAATGGAACCCTATTCCCTATATATAGTACACTATATATTAATATTATTATATTATTATATAGTGCACTACTTTAGACCAGAGAATGGCACCCTATTCCCTATATAGTGCACTACTTTAGACCAGAGAATGGCACCCTATTCCCTATATAGTGCACTACTTTAGACCAGAGAATGGCACCCTATTCCCTATATAGTGCACTACTTTAGACCAGAGAATGGCACCCTATTCCCTATATAGTGCACTACTTTAGACCAGAGAATGGCACCCTATTCCCTATATAGTGCACTACTTTAGACCAGTGAATGGCACCCTATTCCCTATATAGTGCACTACTTTAGACCAGAGAATGGCACCCTATTCCCTATATAGTGCACTACTTTAGACCAGAGAATGGCACCCTATTCCCTATATAGTGCACTACTTTAGACCAGTGAATGGCACCCTATTCCCTATATAGTGCACTACTTTAGACCAGAGAATGGCACCCTATTCCCTATATAGTGCACTACTTTAGACCAGAGAATGGCACCCTATTCCCTATATAGTGCACTACTTTAGACCAGAGAATGGCTCCCTATGTAGTGCACTACTTTAGACCAGAGAATGGCACCCTATTCCCTATATAGTGCACTACTTTAGACCAGAGAATGGCACCCTATTCCATATATAGTGCACTACTTTAGACCAGAGAATGGTACCCTATTCCCTATATAGTGCACTACTTTAGACCAGAGAATGGCACCCTATTCCCTATATAGTGCACTACTTTAGACCAGTGAATGGCACCCTATTCCCTATATAGTGCACTACTTTAGACCAGAGAATGGCACCCTATTCCCTATATAGTGCACTACTTTAGACCAGAGAATGGCACCCTATTCCCTATATAGTGCACTACTTTAGACCAGAGAATGGCACCCTATTCCCTATATAGTGCACTACTTTAGACCAGAGAATGGCACCCTATTCCCTATATAGTGCACTACTTTAGACCAGAGAATGGCTCCCTATGTAGTGCACTACTTTAGACCAGGGCCCATAGGGAATAGGGTGCCATTTTGGGATGAGGTCTTGCTCTGATCCAGATCGTAAGGACTCATCATATTCCAAGTTAGATTAGTTCACTACATAATGCTGCCTTTCTAGATGATGTTGACGTTAGTACGCCTATCCCTAGACGAATCAACCGTTTCCATATGGCTGACTTCACTAATAACGTGATGACCGTGTACAGTAGGAGATCACCGTCATCTCTACGCCAATTAAAACCGATTCCATCGTTTAATAATGCCTCTGTTGTAAATGAGAACTTGTTCTCAACTGGCTTACCTGGTGAAATAAAGGTGAAATAAATAAATAGCCTGGATGCTGGTGTCTGGTTTAACCGGGCTATGTATAACGTTCTCCAGCAGACTAATGCTGATCTTCACGCTCTGAGACTTCACATTCACTTCCCATAATGCCTCTGGGTTCTATAGCATAGCCTGGATGCTGCTGTCACCGGTGTCTGGTTTAACCGGGCTATGTATAACGTTCTCCAGCAGACTAATGCTGATCTTCACGCTCTGAGACTTCACATTCACTTCCCATAATGCCTCTGGGTTCTATAGCATAGCCTGGATGCTGCTGTCACCGGTGTCTGGTTTAACCGGGCTATGTATAACGTTCTCCAGCAGACTAATGCTGATCTTCACGCTCTGAGACTTCACATTCACTTCCCATAATGCCTCTGGGTTCTATAGCGTAGCCTGGATGCTGCTGTCACCGGTGTCTGGTTTAACTGGGCTATGTATAACGTTCTCCAGCAGACTAATGCTGATCTTCACGCTCTGAGACTTCACATTCACTTCCCATAATGCCTCTGGGTTCTATAGCATAGCCTGGAAGCTGCTGTCACCGGTGTCTGGTTTAACCGGGCTATGTATAACGTTCTCCAGCAGACTAATGCTGATCTTCACGCTCTGAGACTTCACATTCACTTCCCATAATGCCTCTGGGTTCTATAGCATAGCCTGGAAGCTGCTGTCACCGGTGTCTGGTTTAACCGGGCTATGTATAACGTTCTCCAGCAGACTAATGCTGATCTTCACGCTCTGAGACTTCACATTCACTTCCCATAATGCCTCTGGGTTCTATAGCATAGCCTGGATGCTGCTGTCACCGGTGTCTGGTTTAACCGGGCTATGTATAACGTTCTCCAGGAGACTAATGCTGATCTTCACGCTCTGAGACTTCACATTCACTTCCCATTCCCTTTATTTAGCATGGTGATGTTAATATAATGCTGCTTGTCTGTAACCCCCAGTGGAGGTTAATATGGTGAGACTGTATTAGACTGTATAATCTAGTCAGATCTCTGCTGGGTGCTGTTAGACTGGTTGTCGGACCGGGCTGACCGGAGGAGACAGCACCTCACTACTCTACCAGAGACCTTCTATACAGGAGACAGACAGACTGGAGGAGAGACACTACACCTGGCTATCTGCAGCACCTCACTACTCCACTCTACCTGACTCTACACCTGGCTATCTGCAGCACCTCACTACTCCACTCTACCTGACTCTACACCTGGCTATCTGCAGCACCTCACTACTCCACTCTACCTGACTCTACACCTGGCTATCTGCAGCACCTCACTACTCCACTCTACCTGACTCTACACCTGGCTATCTGCAGCACCTCACTACTCCACTCTACCTGACTCTACACCTGGCTATCTGCAGCACCTCACTACTCCACTCTACCTGACTCTACACCTGGCTATCTGCAGCACCTCACTACTCCACTCTACCTGACTCTACACCTGGCTATCTGCAGCACCTCACTACTCCACTCTACCTGACTCTACACCTGGCTATCTGCAGCACCTCACTACTCCACTCTACCTGCTCCATACTGTTGATCAAATGTTCCGCCATGTAGTGTGTAAAACACATTCCTGGATGAACAGGTCTTCTGTTGTCATGTAAAACCACCTGTTATGATACAGATCATTAGGATGTTGCCTTTTTATATGTGGGCTAGGTTGAATGGCATTCAGTCTGTTGAGTCATGATCTTACTTTGGGCTCTTTCTGACAGGTTGAATGGCATTCAGTCTGTTGAGTCATGATCTTACTTTGGGCTCTTTCTGACAGGTTGAATGGCATTCAGTCTGTTGAGTCATGATCTTACTTTGGGCTCTTTCTGACAGGTTGAATGGCATTCAGTCTGTTGAGTCATGATCTTACTTTGGGCTCTTTCTGACAGGTTGAATGGCATGGACTCTATTTAGTCATGATCAAGTGTAAAGACTCTCTCCTCTCTCCTCTCTCCTCCCTCTTTCCCTCCCTCCTCCTCCTCCAGGTCTCTCAGCACAGTATCGTCAACAAGATGTCTCCCTCCAACCTGGCCTGTGTGTTTGGTGTCAATCTGTCCTGGCCTTCTCAGGGCTCTGTCTCTCTGACAGCTCTGACGCCGCTCAACATCTTCACCGAGATCCTTATAGAACATTACCATACAGTCTTCAGCTCCCGCTGCCCACGGGTAATGCCCTGATCGCCAGCACAGCACACCACCGTGAGGACGCGCGCCACTGCACAGCACACCGTGGACTCGTCGCCGTATACCGTCTTCTGCCCCGTAGCGGTAACAACCTGACTGCACGGGCCGCACCACCTCACAACGTCTTCAGTCCTACTCTGATCGTACACAACGACACGCTACTCAACCCAACAGAACCGGAACACCACGCTACTCAACCCAACAGAACAGGAACACCACGCTACTCAACCCAACAGAACAGGAACACCACGCTACTCAACCCAACAGAACAGGAACACCACGCTACTCAACCCAACAGAACAGGAACACCACGCTACTCAACCCAACAGAACAGGAACACCACGCTACTCAACCCAACAGAACAGGAACGACACGCTACTCAACCCAACAGAACAGGAACACCACGCTACTCAACCCAACAGAACAGGAACGCCACGCTACTCAACCCAACAGAACAGGAACACCACGCTACTCAACCCAACAGAACAGGAACACCACGCTACTCAACCCAACAGAACAGGAACACCACGCTACTCAACCCAACAGAACAGGAACACCACGCTACTCAACCCAACAGAACAGGAACACCACGCTACTCAACCCAACAGAACAGGAACGCCACGCTACTCAACCCACACGAACAGGAACACCACGCTACTCAACCCACAGAACAGGAACACAACACACGCTTACTCTCAACCCACAACAGAACAGGAACACCACGCTACTCAACCCAACAGAACAGGAAACACCACGCTACTCAAACCCAACAGAACAGGAACACCACGCTACTCAACCCAACAGAACAGGAACGACACGCTACTCAACCCAACAGAACAGGAACACCACGCTACTCAACCCAACAGAACAGAACGCCACGCTACTCAAACCCAACAGAACAGGAACACCACGCTACTCAACCCAACAGAACAGGAACAACCACGTACTCAACCCAACAGACAAGAACACCACGCTACTCAACCCAACAGAACAGGAACGCCACGCTACTCAACCCAACAGAACAGGAACGCCACGCTACTCAACCCAACAGAACAGGAACACCACGCTACTCAACCCAACAGAACAGGAACGCCACGCTACTCAACCCAACAGAACAGGAACACCACGCTACTCAACCCAACAGAACCGGAACGCTGTGATATACTGTGATTGTTTACTGGGAGGACCTGTTTGAAGAGAGTCCAATCACCTTTGTCTCCTGAAACAAGATGGCTCCCAGAATCAACCTTTTTTTTTCTCTCCAATGCATCATCCAGGTTGTTGCTACATGAGGAGAGGAGATGGAGCTTCACAGTCAGAACAAAGCATAGCGCCTCAAAGTACAAAGTAGAACTTTTCTTAGTTTCTTGTGTGTTCTGTCAAATGTCTGCTCTGTTCATATGGTTCTGGGGAGGGGGGGAGGTGCATATGGTCCTGGGGAGGGGGGGGAGGAGCATATGGTTCTGGGGAGGGAGGAGGGGGAGGAGCATATGGTTCTGGGGAGGGAGGGGGGAGGAGCATATGGTTCTGGGGAGGGAGGGGGGGAGGAGCATATGGTTCTGGGGAGGGAGGGGGGGAGAAGCATATGGTTCTGGGAGGGAGGGAGTGGGGAGGAGCATATGGTTCTGGGGAGGGAGGGAGTGGGGGGAGGAGCATATGGTTCTGGGGAGGGAGGGGGGGAGGAGCATATGGTTCTGGGGAGGGAGGGGGGGAGGAGCATATGGTTCTGGGGAGGGAGGGGGGGAGAAGCATATGGTTCTGGGAGGGAGGGAGTGGGGGAGGAGCATATGGTTCTGGGGAGGGAGGGAGTGGGGGAGGAGCATATGGTTCTGGGGAGGGAGGGGGGAGGAGCATATGGTTCTGGGAGGGAGGGGGAGGAGCATATGGTTCTGGGGAGGGAGGGAGGGGGGGGGCATATAGAAATGAGAAATGTAATATTTAAAGAGGCAGCTGGGTTGGACAGGCCTATGCTGCCACCTACTGTAGTAACAGCAGAGGTGCAGGCATCCTGATAAATAAGAATACACCCTTGTTCCCTTATCCCAGCACACGGACCGAGGACGCTTTCTAATATTGAATTGTACCGTACGCGGTGAAGAATACACATTGATTTCATTGTATGTCACACCTGGGGCAAATCTGGTGTTTCTAGCTAGAATTCAAGCAATATTAGATCAAACCCAGGCAGGAGTTAAATCATACATCAGATGAGATTGACAGACGTAGCAATAAAAAAAGGCAGATTCAAGGCATATCCAAAGAGGCTGAACATTTTCATTTCTACAAATAATCTACAGGATACCTGGAGATGTTCTATTCCCAACTACAAAAAAAACTAAAAAGCTATTAAAGAATTGACTTTTTATTTTTTTTAAAGCACTCCAACAATTTACTGGGTTTCATTCTCCAGTATCGTGCTTAATTACACCAATAGAAAATACACCTAGAGGCAGAATCTGGAGAATGAACAGAGCGCATCTTCATACCCGAAATGTATTAAATATATCAGTGAAATAATAAAGATCTTTACCATTATGTAGACAGAGAGGTTAAAGATACGCCTTGGTATGCTGTAATATGGGATGCCTTTAAGGCGTACATTAGGGGAATGACAATTTCATACTCGTTAAATCTGAGCTAGTGATTTATTTTTCTTTCATTTCTATCTTAGAAAAAGCTTTACAAGGTAAAGTAGAAGAAAAAACATATTGTCTTGTTGTTTAGATTTGTTCTTGATGTCTTACTGTTTAGATTTGTGTTGTCCTTGATGTCTTGCTGTTTAGACTTGTGTTGTCCTTGATGTCTTGCTGTTTAGATTCGTGTTGTCCTTGATGTCTTGCTGTTTCGATTTGTGTTGTCCTTGATGTCTTGCTGTTTAGATTAGTGTTGTCCTTGATGTCTTGCTGTTTAGATTTGTGTTGTCCTTGATGTCTTGCTGTGTTTTGCATAGTTTTTCTTTTTGTTCATTTTGTTGGTTGTTGGGGGATGGTGGGGAGTGGAGGGAGAGGCTTTTTCCCCAGGGGGGATCTCTGATGGTTGAGGTGCAGCTCTCGGGAACTGTTGGAGAGTCTTGGATGGTTGGTGGCCTGGCTGTTGGGAGCTTGGGCCTATCGGCCACCAAATTTGACTTGGTTAGAGATCTGTTCGACGTTCCCCGGGGCAGGGTGCTTGACCCTGTTTACTCCTGTGGGTCGCTCTGGATGGGAGTGTCTGCTAGATGACTGAATGTAATGGAAATGTTGATCAGCTTCACTGCAGGTAGATTGTATGTTTTAATATTCAATAAAATAAACATCTGAACTTCAGCAAGAATATGATCTTTTACTTTTGAAGAGAGCCAACAACTATAGGTTAAAATCAAATGAAGCATATAAAACTGGTAAACACCTCACAGCCCACAAAATGAATACACGCCAAAGCAGTTATAGTTTTCAAAGACAAAGATACAGACGGACTGCCAAATTCTCTAAAACGACGTTGGAGGCAGCTTATGGTAACAGCTCTGGTGGACATTCCTGCAGTCAGCATGCCAATTGCACGCTCCCTCAACTTGAGCCATCTGTGGCATTGTGTTGTGTGACAAAACTGCACATTTTAGAGGGGCCTTTTATTGTCCCCAGCACAAGGTGCACCTGTGTAATGATCATGCTGTTTAATCAGCTTCTTGATATGCCATACCTGTCAGGTGGATGGATTATCTTGGCAAAGGAGAAATGCTCACTAACAGGGATTTAAACAAATTTGTGCACAAAATTTGAGAAATAAGCTTTTTGTGCGTATGGAACATTTCTCATATTTTATTTCAGCTCATGAAACATGGGACCAACACTTTACATGTTGCATTTATATTTTTGTTCACTATAGATTTATCAATAATGGCTGTCGATGCCAAAAAGGCTTTCGACCGTCTTTAATGGCCTTTTCTATTAACTTTAGAAGCTTTCAACTTTCCAGCTGAAATAATAAATGTAATAATATGATATAAATGTCCTAAAGCAAAAATGTATACAAATAATATATCTGATGAAATAACTTTAGAAAGGGGCACAAGACAGGGATGTCCTCTCTCCCCTCTCCTGTTTGTACTGGCAATTGAACCGCTTGCAGAAATAATGATACAGGACCCAAACGTAACAGGTATTGGTAAACATGAATATAAAATAAATGTATTTGCAGATGATCTCCTGATATACCTGACCAATATTGAAAACTCAATACCCCTCTTGCTAAAAAATATTTTCTGAATACTCTCGGAATAGAAAATTAAACGTGGACTTCAATCTCACATACAAAACATCACTAGATACATACAGTGGGGAAAAATGGTATTTAGTCAGCCACCAATTGACTGTCCACAACCTCAAACAGTCACACTCCAAACTCCACTATGGCCAAGACCAAAACATCACTAGATACATACTCAAGCCTTTCAGTTACAGATATTCTATACAATTCTGTCAACAAAGAAAATGCTTTGTAGTTGGGGTATTGAGCAAGACTCTAAATGCAGATTCTATCATCAAGAAGAGGAGGACATAATGCTTCTGTATTGGTACTGTCTGACAGTGAGCAAAGTTCTTGGCTACAGCTTCAAGGCTGGCTTTCCCATCACTCCATCAGACTACATATTAACCCTCAGCTTATCATCTTAGGTGACCTCAATGTCCATAGTCCATCGATTAACAACACAATACTTCTGCTAGGTCAAATGTTCATATGAAAAACACAATTCTACATTTAAAAAAAAAACGAAATAATGGGAAAAATAATAACTAATGATCTACAGCAATCCTTTAATTGGACAAAAAAAGTAATATTTAGGATACTTCAGTGACAACAAACAACAAATATATATATATATATATATACTTTATCCCATTATTCAAGAATATGAAAGCAGACCTAATTAAATGGATCTTCCCTTAAATCTAACAGGTAGAAAAAACCTCTTCAGAATGGCATGGCTCCCAAAGTTTATATACTTATTCTCTGTAATACCATTTACCCCACCGAATACTTTCTTTAAAGAAGTATACTCAGTCATAACAGACTTTATATGGCCAAATAAAACTCATAGAATAAAAAGGAAAGTTTTACATCTTCCTGAGTCTGAGGGTGGTTTTAACCTTCCAGACTTGGAGTTGTATCAACCCGCTACCCAAGGCTTTTACTAGAGACGTAGTTAAATACACTAAAGAGGAACAATTACATTTACATTTAAGTCATTTAGCAGACGCTCTTATCCAGAGCGACTTACACATTGGTGCATTCACCCTATAGCCAGTGGGTTAACCACTTTACAATATGTTTTCTTTTGTTTTTTTTGGTGGGGTGGGGTAAGGGGGGGGGGGGGGTAGAAGGATTACTTTATCCTATCCCAGGTATTCCTTACAGAGGTGGGGTTTCAAGTGTCTCCGGAAGGTGGTGAGTGACTCCGCCGTCCTGGCGTTGTGAGGGAGCTTGTTCCACCATTGGGGTGCCAGAGCAGCGAACAGTTTTGACTGGGCTGAGCGGGAACTGTGCTTCCGCAGAGGTAGGGTAGCCAGCAGGCCAGAGGTGGATGAACGCAGTGCCCTCGTTTGGGTGTAGGGACTGATCAGATGGGTACATATTGAAGATGCACATGCTCATCCCCAGAATCTTTTTATGTGTCTATTTTCAAAGGATAAAGCTAAGAACATTAACAACTTCATAGTTAAGAACACTATAACAACATGGAAGAAAATGGAACGTATTTTACAAGAACCAAATTCACTCCCTAGAAACACAACCCTATGGAATAATCCTTGGATAGCTTTTCAGAACTCACTGAGAAATTGGTCCTCATGGAAAACTAAAGGCACAGAAACCGTAAATGACTTGGTAACAGGAAATACATTTCCAATTTTGGATTGACCAATGTACATATTTTCAAATACATGCAACTTAAAAGTTTTATATCCCAAAATGTCAATTTGAAGTATTTTGGAGATCAGAGCAATCTTAATGGAATGCTATTTGAGTCAGAAAAGGATGTTCATAGGTAAGCTATACAAAACCTTGCAGAGAGCCTATCCAACTGACAATCTCTTATAAAAAATAATACATTATTGGAACCAAGACTTGGAGGGAATGTTGGAACATAACTAACGAGATTAAAGTTAACGAAAATGTATGTACA